AAAACTCAGATAAACCATACCATACCATTGGGTTATAATTATAACTGATGTTTACTGTTACATATTCATTTTATTTCATTTACCATACTCTTTTATACCCCAGATAAACTTTGAAATATCAAAAAAGTCATGGTTATACCACAGGGTTATAATTTAACTGATATTTACTGTTTTATATATTCATTTTATTACATTTACCATAGTCTTTTATACCCCAGATAAACTTTGAAATACCAAAAAAGTCATGGTTATACCATTGGGTTATAATTATAACTGATATTTACTGTTATACATCCATTTCAAATAGCATTTATAAACCAGATAAACTTTGAAATATCAAAATAAGTCATGGTGATACCACAGGGTTATAATTATAACTGATATTTACTGTTACACATTCATTTCATATAGCATTTATAACACAGATAAACCATACCATACCATTGGGTTATAATTATAACTGATATTTACTGTTATATGTTCATTTTATTTCATTTACCATTGTCTTTTATACCCCAGATAACTTTGAAATATCTAAAAAGCCATGGTTATACCATTTGATTATAATTATAACTGATATTTATTGTTATACTCATTGCATATACTATAGTCATTTATACCCCAGATAAACTTTGAAATATCAACTAATATATATCATATGAACTGTCAAATATGTGGGCATTATGGCAGACACATCATTGTTGCTACATTTACCTGTCAGTCATAAATACCAGTTATTTGATTGACAACAACAGATACTAGCAAGAAAAATAATCTAGATTCTTTTCTTTATTTTCATTACATTTCAGATGTTTATCATAAAGGAAACTAGTTCTTGTAAACTTTTTTTTGCAGTTAGAAGCTCTTGTTAATTAGAGTTCTTATACAGAAGAATATTTTTCTAGTTGATTCAATGTATTGATGACGTCACTTATTGCCAGGGGCTTTATATGAAAAAGTATATTTTGCAATATTTGACGTCATATAAAACACTTGGTTTTAGTGGAATTAAACCACAGACATCTGATTGAAAATTTAAATGGTGCAAATTGATGCTATCAGTGTCTCTGATACATAATTTTTTTATAGGATAACCTCTTTACAATCCCTTTAATGCAAGTTGACCACTGACCACATGGTAATACATCTAACAACTTTGAACAGAATAGAATAGTAATGGTAATATCAACTTTGAATTAAATAGTAATGGTAATCTGAACTTTGAATATAATAGTAATAGTAATATCAACTTTGAATAGAATAGTAATGGTAATTTGAACTTTGAATAGAATAGTAATGGTACGGTAATATTAACTTTGAATATAATAGTAATGGTAATATCAACTTTGAATAGAATAGTAATGGTAATTTGAACTTTGAATAGAATAGTAATGGTATGGTAATATTAACTTTGAATAAAATAGTAATGGTAATATCAACTTTAATAGAATAGTAATGGTAAATTCTATTTTGAATAGAATAGTAATGGTAATATTAACTTTGAATAGAATAGTAATGGTAATATCAACTTTAATAGAATAGTAATGGTAAATTCTACTTTAAATAGAATAGTAATGGTCATATCAGCTTTGAATAGAATAGTAATATCAGTTTTGAATAGAATAGTAATATCAGCTTTGAATAGAATAGTAATGGTAAGCTCTATTTTGAATAAAATAGTAAATGGTAATATCAACTTTGAATAAAATAGTAATGGTTATATCAACTTTAAAATAATAAAGAGCAAGCCCAAGTTAATATATTTTGAGATGACATAGTACTGTGTGAAAAAAAAAACAGGGCATAATATCGGCACCCTCCAAAATATTTTTGGACTCCCTCAACTTTTGTGTGAATTTGTACGCCATAATCGTAAATTTTAAGAAATAATATTTTGAATTATTGTGATATAACAATGAAAATTCTGTTTTAACCCTCCTCCCTTCTTCACAAACCCTTGTGAGTGATTTAAAGCATTGCTTTTTCTTATTCAAATGAAAAGAAAATCATAGCCTTTACAAAATAATACACAATAAACCATTCCTACAATTCCTGGAATTGTTACCGATGGCACCAGTTCCATTGTAATAACACATCTATCAGAGAAGTTCAATTTGAAACATGATCCTATCGATTACAATGTCTACAACACAAAGATAGTAAATCAACAATATCAGAAAAAAATAGAAGAAATATTATCTTGCTCTTACCTTATAAGATGACTATTATTGATGGATCTATGGTGAAATAATAATGTTCGGAGAAGACAAATGAATCTGTCTATAACTTGGTTTCTCCACGGTAAAATGTTAACTCCACGTGAATACGAGTCGCCAGGCAGTTATCAACTGAGTTAAGAAGACGAATAACAGTTCATCTATATATACCGCTATCTGAACTCATATTTCAAACGGTGGGGTTGATTTGCCCAAGACCTTTATGCCTCATTGGGATATTACTTCCCAGCGTGTACATTTGTCATAAGTTTATTAGAACATTTGGTAATCTTAAAACGGATTTAGTCGAAAGGACGAAGTTTAGAAATGTCAGTATTAGTCATTCAAATATCATAACCTTGAAACACGAATTTCATTTCATGTACATTTTTTTTTCTTTTGAAAAAATATTCTAAAGCCATGAAATTTGATGATTTTCACATTCATTATTTCCATTGACCCTGGACATTGTAAATCCAACATATTTTCAATCAAGTGATAGAGCTCAATTTCAAATTTCCGTATTACTCTACAGAATGAGTTCTCGACGACGAGTTGACGAGTTCGTCTATGGTTTGATTCTACTACATTAATCCACATTAAAGGGGATGGATTTGGGTTTTGAATGTGCTTTAATAGTCTTAAGAAGTACTAAAACGAAAATCGCAAAATCACTTCAAATATACCTCAAACTAGAAATTTCACATCTATTTCTATATATGTATTTTCTATATAATTATGACACACAGTCTCACTAAATTCTAGTCGAATTTTTAACTTTCAAACGTGAATAATTTATTATGTATACACATGAATTTGAAGGCTAAGATGAGCTATGAACACTATTACTGTTTAAGTAACCTTTAAAAAATCCTGTTTCTGAAACTAAGGTATGATTGGTTGAACAGATAGTGATGGTGCTCCTCTAACTATCAACTATAATTCAGTCGTATTTCACATGGCGAGATTTTCAAATGATTAAATTTTCTGTCTAATGTTTGTGTTTAAGAAAGTTTCTATTAGCACCATTCCGATTTCCCATCCCTCGTTTATAGTTTTGGTAATTTGAGAAAACATCAGATTTTGACATAACTATCGCGATAGCATTCCAAGTTGATACACTAAGTTATAAGTATGTAATAGCCTGTAATCCAGGGTTTGAATCTGGCATGAATTTATATGTTCCATCGGATTATTCGGCCAGGTGTCCCCTCATCAGTGATGAAGGGTTTGACATGGGAAAACATTTAATATTTAGGTGAAATCGCGATGATAATTGGAAAGGAGTAACAATGGCGACAACCATCTTAGAGGTTTCTCTCAAGAAAACTTTAGAAAAATGGAATTGATTTGGTTCATCTTAAGACATATTTTGGGGCAAAAACGCATAAAGATATTTGTTTTTTTAGATTGTA